CCTGCGGTTACCAACCGGTTGCAGACGCCGAATAAACCTGTTCAGTGTTGGGTGTAGTTCCTCCCTTCGGTTCCCCAAAGTTCAGGGACCATTTCTATCTGTGCCAAAGGTTGCCAGCCTTTATGCTGACTTACTATTAACTGATCATACTTTTAGCTGTTTAGGTGATCTTGCCGGATACAGGCCCGTAGGCTTCTTGCATTTCAGCAAAACTTATTCTATGTATAATTATTAGGAAACACATATCATATGCCTCAATACATCCTAATTTCATAGGAATTCATACTGATAAAATATAAGAATCATGTATGAAATGGATTAATTCAGAAAGAAACATATTTGATACAGCTGGCTGGATTAGTAGGATATAATAGTTAGCAAAGTAATCCTATGGGCTACAGCAGTAACACAGGAGACAAACTCAGAACAAACACAGACTCGCACCCAAAGGGTGGCGGAGAGACACATCCTGGGTCCAATCCAGTGGCCCAATGGGAGTTTCCCAGGTAGAGGGCTACAGGATCAGGCTCCCAGGTTAAAGAGAGAGAACTGCATCCTGGGGAAGAGTGAAAGAGACAACATCGAGAGGCGGAAGAGGGGATTGGTAGGCGGGAGTCATACTCAGCAGAGGTAGATGGGGAGAAGTGCTGGGGGAGGGGGGGAGGAGAGACATGCAGTGTGGAGAGGAAGAGAGTGCAGAGATTCCCACTGATGGATAAGGTACAGAGCGATGAGAGACAGAAGATTAGCTGGTTTAGAGCTGGCTGTGCCCTATGGGGAGAACAGTGACATCTTAGGGGCCATGAAACGCTGAGCGCCTCTTTGCACACGGCTGTAGTGCAGGGTGGGGCCACACTCCTGTTGGCTGTGGTCTCCGTGCTTCCCTGGCCTGTGTTTCTCAGACGGACACTCTGGTCTCCTCATCCCGGGGAGCTGCAGCAGGGTCACCAGCGCGAAATAGAAAGTGGATATTGTTTTTTATTTTTCATCGTGTCCCCAGCCTAGCCCCTAGGAGTGAGCAAACACAGCCTCCACTACACATTAACTCCACCACCCCACTTCTGTTACCAAGACAGAAAGAGACAGCAGCGAGATTCCATGGGACAGGGCAGAACTCTACAGGTGCCCAAGCAGCAGTTACAGTATATTGAAATGGAAAGAGGAGGGTTGTCCCTGCACCAGCTAAGGCGGAGGGGGGAGTTCTCCCTCTGATATAGCAGAGTGGGGTAGCTCTGCTTCCCCCTGTACTTTAACCCCAGCACCCAAGTGGCACAATCTCACTCCGGCGAAGGAGTGTCTGCAGTTAAGAACGGTGGCTTCTTTTAGGTATGATCTTTTTATTCTACACTAAATAAAACAGAACAGAACAGGAAAAGAACAAGCTGTGACGGTGGTTTGCACCATCATAAAGTCTTATGGGTTGAGGGCCTTACTGCAAAGCACAGGGCATGTATCCAACGGGGCCCGGGTCTCAGTGATGCTGGTGTGAGTCCAGAGTAACTCCACAGATGTCGGTGGCGTAACTGCAAACTTACTCTGGTGTAACGAACACCAGAATCTGGCACATGGGGCACCGCCGCCGTGTTTAGGAATCTGGATGTCCTTGCAGTGCATATAGAGACCCATCGGAGGGTGTGAGATGAGCATCCTAGGACATTGGTTTCCCATCAGTTCAAGCAGCTAAGTCCAGTGATGAGTAAAAGGCTGCCGGAGAGGGGAGGAGAGATGATCTCAGACACCCTGTTCTTGGAGGATTATATTGCTGATGTCAGAGAGTGTTTAGTGGTGCAGGGAGACAAGTGATTTGATCAGGAACATCATCCTGTAGTCCCCTCTAGCTCCAGTGGGTCCAGTTCAGTTTACAGCTCCGACCATGATAATGGTTCTACCAGCTCCTCCCTCAGCACCCTGGGCTCTGGGTTGCTCTGCTCTCCCTGACCTGCCCACCAGGGCGAGGGATTCTGCTAGTCAGGACTGCTCTGCTCTAGTGGCACCGACTCTGCAGGGCAGAGCCTGGCGGCAGCTGGGACATGGAGCTATCCAGCTAGAAGGGGCCATGTTCCAGCAGAGACTCCCCTGACTGTAGCCACACCTTAACCAAGGAAACCGGGGCCGGGGGAGACCGCAGGGCTGCGTTTCCTGCCGGTCAGATTGCCGAGTCAGCGTTTCTCTAGAAGTCTGTTTTGTCGTGAGTGAACAAAAGGAGGAAGCCCTGGCTCTCGGCCGTTCCTGTTCGCTCCCTCGGCTTTGGGCTACACAAACTTGATTCAGGAGGAGACGGGAGAGAGAGTGTCCCCCTGCCATGGAAGAGAAAGAAAGGGAGCAAGACCAGGGCAGATAGAACGTAGAGGAAAACAACAGGAGCAGTCAGAGAGACAGTGGGGGTCAGATCCTTTGGTGGTGTAAAACCGTTGCTTTCAGTGCAGGAAGGCTGATTGACACCATCTGAGTCTCCAGCCCTGGGAGCGGGAGGGAATCCAGAGGGAGAGGAGGAAGTAGAGGCACGTGGAAGCAGAACAGGTGAGGAGAAGAGAATAAAAGAAGGCAGAACAGCGAAAGATAAAGCTACCCAACCGTAAAGCCAATCTGACTAATAGTACTCCTCTTTCACCATGTTGTCCTGTTGCCCTGGCAGGAAGGAGAACGTTGGTATGAACTGGTGAAAATCTGTTGCCAGCCAAAGCCAGACCTGGTGATTATTCCAGACCACTTGAAGCCCTAGAAACCCTCCAAACTTTTGGAACAAAATATCATTAGAGGTGAGAAGCCTAATTCCCCGCTCTCCCAAAGTGGGAGCCCAGAGCAGTAAGTGTTGGCCACCGCGCTGATTTCTGGAATGCCCCTGGTCTGCCCAACTCTGGGCAGCAGGAATGAAATTTGAGTCTCCTCTCTGGCACAGCAGTGTCCCCTGGGAGGGCTCAGGGCAACTGGGAGTCAACCCTGGATGAGGATCTTCCTCATGGCAGGGTAGAAACCAGTTCGGGCATTGGGCCTGCTCTAGGACAGGAGAGTAGGAATCAAAGCCAGGTCTGCTATGTGGCACAGCATTGATCCCTAGGGGCGGTGAGGTGAGCAGCTTCTATTCAGAACATTTCAAGAGAAAATGACAGAGGAGAATGACCTGGGTGTATTGATTGATCACAGGGTGACTGAGCCACCAATGTGATGTGGCTGAGAAAAAGGCTAATGCAGTCCTAGAATGCATCAGACAAGGTATTTCTAGTAGAGACGGGGAAGTGTTACTGCCATTATACAAGGTATTGGTGAGACCTCATCTGGAATAGTATGTGCAGTTCTGGTCTCCCATGTTTAAGAAGGATGAATTCAAACTGGAACAGGTGCAGAGAAGGGCTACTAGGATGATCTGAGGAACAGAAAAGCTACCTTATGAGAGGAGACTCAGAGCTTGGCTTGTCTAGCCTAACCAAAAGAAGGCTGAGGGGAGATATGACTGCTCTCTATAAATACATCAGAGGGATACACACCAGGGAGGGAGAGGAGTTATTTAAGTTAAGGGCCAATGCTGGCATAAGCACAAATGGATATAAACTGGCCATCAATAAGTTTAGGCTTGAAATTAGATGGAAGTTTCTAACCATCAGAGCAGTGACGTTTTGGAACAGCCTTCTGAGGGGAGCAGTGGGGGCAAAAATCCTAACTAGCTTCAAAACTGAGCTTGATAAGTGTGTGGAGGAATGGTATGATGAGACTGCCTACAATGGCATATGGCCCAGCTGCATCTGCCATTGTAAATATTCCCAACAACTGGTGATGGGACACTAGATGGGGGAGGGAGGGCTCTGAGTTACTACAGAGAATTCTCTCCCAGGTGTCTGGCTGGTGGGTCTTGCCCACGTGCTCAGGGTCTAACTAATCACCATATTTGGGGTCAGGAAAGAATTTCCCCCCAGGTCAGATTGGCAGAAATCCTGTGGGGTTTTTCACCTTCCTCTGCAGCATGGGGCATGGGTCACTTGCAGGTTTAAACTAGAGTAATGATGGATTCTCTGTAACGTGAAGTCTTTAAATCATGATTTGAGGACTTCAGTAACTCAGCCAGAGGTTAAGGGTCAGTCTATTACAGGAGTGGGTGGGTGAGGTTCTGTGGCCTACCATGTGCAGGAGGTCAGACTAGATGATCATGATGGTCCCTTCTGGCCTTAAAGTCTATGACACTATAGCAGCTGCTGACACAGCACAGTGAGTCTTTAGACTGTGGCACTGGAAACATCTGGTCCTGGCCACGGTTGGAGGCAGGATACCAGACAGGATGGAGCAATGGTCTGATCTGGTTTCAGCAGTTCCTTTGTTCCTATGGGTCTGCCACATAGAAATGTAAGGCCAGAAGGGAGTTTGAGAGGTCATCTAATGCAGCCCCCTGCGCTGAGGCAGGACCCAGACAGTACATCATCACATGCAGCTGGCAGCAGATGAGCCATGTCACTGGTTCCGAGAACTTCATTCTCTGCTAGCTCTTGATAACAGAAACTTATTGATAAAGTGACGGGAATCCAGAAATGAGGATCTAAAATCAACGAAGGGGCTACAGGAAATGACCTACGGAAAGATTTAAAATAACAATATTCCCGTAGCTCAGCCCAAGCCGAGTGAGGTGACAAGCACGTACACTGTCAGTGGGGTAAAAACAAAGGGGCTAAGAACAACTGTTCAGATTGAGTCAAAGGTTTAGTAAACTTGGAGTGATAGGAGCATGTTGGCTGCATTATATTACATCTCCTAACAGTGAGATCTGCTGGGCTATGGAACGTCCTCTGTGGACAGTGGGTAATTTAAGAGTGGTCTGGACAAATTCCCTGGAGAATATAGCATAGGGAAGGACAGTCTCAGGGAGGTGTAGACACAATGTGATCTATCCTGTTCCCAGCCCTTTTATAGTATGTATGAATCTGTTTCACTCACTGCCTGGCTTGTCTTGCAAACAGAGACGCTATGTCGAGGCTCTGGATTATGGTCCTTGTTCTGCTGTGGATTCCAGTCATGGCCATCGCACAGCTCCCAGGCAATGTCCAGTGCCCTGTGAATTGCTCCTGCTTCTTCTCCCAGTGGTTTGTCCGGTGCTCCAATGCCAGCTTATCCTCTCTTCCCCCTGGCATCCCCAATGCCACCGTGGAGCTCGACCTGCAGCACAACCAGTTCAGCACCCTCTCAGCAGGCTTCTTCCCAGAACTGGCTGAGATCAGCATCATTTACCTTGGCAGCAGTGGAATCCACCAGGTTGAGCCGGGGGCTTTTCAGGGGGTCAAGAATCTGTACCATCTCCACCTGGACAACAACCTCCTGGAGCAGGTCCCAGAGGGTGTCTTTGAGAATCTGACAAATCTGATCTTCCTGCACCTGGAGCACAACCAGATTGCTCACCTCCTGCCAGGTATTTCTGGATGGATAGGCCTCCAGCTAACTGAGCAACCAGCATTACCAGCCCCATGCCTCTTCTCTACTAATCCCTGCCCAAGCCGTAGGTCTCCTGAAGACCCCACGCTGCTGAGAGGATGGGGGCCAGAACTGCCACCAACGGGTCCTGCATGTCCATGATACAAAGTCAGCACCTCCTTCTACCCAGGGGAAAATGGGAGGGGGTAACTCAGGGCTGCGGGAGAGGAGGTGCCTCATGATCAGAGATTATTGAAGCACAGAACATTTGATATTGGCTTGACCTGGTTGGGGGGTCTCTCTCTCTCTCTCTCAGGTGGGTTCTCTTCTCTGAAGCAGCTCAGTGTCCTGGACCTGAGTAACAACCTGCTGCTGGAGCTCTCCGACCAAGCCCTTCACGGCCTCCCGCGGCTGCGTCGGCTCTACCTGAGTGCAAACCATATTACCAATGTCTCCAGCAAAGCCCTCCCAGGCACCCTGCGGGCCCTCAGCCTAGACGGGAACCAGCTGGCGAGCGTGCCCGCGGCCATCCGCACCTCTCCCATGCTCTCCACTCTACAGCTGAGTGGTAACCCCATCCGGAAGCTGACGTCTCTCTCCTTTGGGAGGAGGCTTCGGTCCCTAAGGCAGCTGTTCCTGGACAGCCTGGCCCTGGAGCAGGTCACCAACTTGGCTTTCACCAGGCTCCGCTGGCTGGAGCTGCTGAGCCTGAGGAACAACAGCCTGGAGTCGCTTCTGCCTCTGTCCTCCCTGAAGTCGCTCTCCACTCTGTATCTGACTGGGAACAAGTGGCGCTGTGACTGCAAACTGATCTGGCTCCGCACCTGGCAGAAGAAGGTGCTCCGGAAAGAACGCAGCCCCGTGGAGTGCAGCTCCCCGGGGGCGCTACAGGGACAGCTCCTGGTGGACATAGAGGTAACGGCCTGTGGTTCCAGAGTACATGAAAGTGGTGGGCTGGGGCCAGGACGCACTGGATTTCCAGTCCAAGCCTCTCTCCCCTTCCGCCCCAAGGGCTGGGAGTGCTGTGAAGGGAGCCATGGTTCATGGCACCAGTACTTTGAAAGGGAGACGACCAGTGTAACCAATGCCCTTGCCGATCTCATGGCAGGGTGAGGCCTGGCCAGTATGCGGATGGGACCCGGACAGTTCCATACTTAAATAACTCCCACGCGCCTCATTCCCCTGGGAAGCTGAAACTCGGTCCTTTAGCTTGAAAACATGGGCCCCTTCCGCAGAGTTGAAGATCTCTCCTGGTTGGAGCTGATAGCAGCTCCCTGACCCTCGGTGCTGTGAGATAGCCACTTTCAGGCTCGGCCCCCACAACGCTGCCAGCTGGAAGGTAGTGCTTTTTGGTGGAGGGGCTGGGGAGATCACAGGTAATCAGAAAGCAATTGGGGTGTGTGTTAATAGGTAGGCCTGGCATGGCATTAATGTGTTTCAGTGGTTGGGGGGGAAGGTGCACACAGGATGGGTTCGGCAGCCTGTGAAGGGAAGAAAGAAGCAGATGCGCACTCTATTTTCTGTGTGTTTTGTCTTCATTTCCTTCCTTTCTCCTCTGCTCAGTCCCTCTCTCTCTCCCCCTCCTTTTCTCTTTCCTGCTTCCCCCACCCTCCCTAGCTCTTGTGGGGACCAGGAGGGGCTGCTGGGCTAGGGTGTGGCTGCAGAGGCCATCCTGCAGTGCAGAAGGCGCTGGGTGTCAGCGCTCGGAGCAGGCCGCAGCTTATGGCAGGCTCTGGGTCCCATGTTATGTGAGGCGTGAATAAAAAATAATAAATTGTTCAAATACAAGCTCATGTTGGCTTAATGCAAAGACCAGCACAGCTCTTCCCTTCCTCTCTCTGCCACAGCCTTCTTCATCCTCTGTCACATTCACACTCAGCCTGTCCCTCCCCTCACCCCTCTCCTTCCATGTCCTGCTGCGATCCGTTCACCTGCAGTGCAGGGAAGGTGAACACAGCACACAGATGCCTTTCCTGGTATCTGTCTGGGGGAAGTTGGGCCACAGCCGTTCAACCTGCTATCAGCTTTCCCAGCTCAGTTGGCTGGTGGTCTCCTCGGGGGACCAGAATAGTTCACAGAAACAGGACAAAATGCCACTGGAAACTGAGCCAGTCCTGGTTCCGAGACACATGGTCACCTGAAATCAGAGCCACTCTGACATTCTTGCCCATAAAAGACCCCCGGACTGATTGTGTAAGAGGTATTAGCTTATATCAGAGAGGCAGCCGTGTTAGTCTGTATCCACAAAAACAACAAGGAGTCTGGTGGCACCTTAAAGACAAACAGATTTATTTGTTAGGCACTCCATGCATCTGAAGAAGTGGATTTTTATCCACAAAAGCTTATGCCCAAATAAATCTGTTCAACTTTAAGGTGCTACCAGACTTCTCATTGTTTTTTGAGGTATTAGCTTGGTATCCTGGGACAGTTCTAACCTGAGTAATTTATATCCTTCCAGTCTAACCGATGCCTCCACTACAGTTTTCACTGGAACAGGCATTCTCCACTTCCTGTCCTAAACCCCTCAAAATAATCTCCCACTCCTATCTGGGATTGGGGTGCAGGATGGCTGGGCTGTTCCTTCCCAGAAGCTTCTGCCTGTCAGTGGGGAGGAGTTATCCCTGCTGGTGCTTCATCCAGGCCCTAAAGAAATGGAAGACCTGATTCTCTCTCATGTGGATTTTTTTTTCACCTTGCCCAGTTACAGAAGCTGACTTGCCCACCTTTTGGGACGGACTCCACCACCCTCAGCCCCGCTGAGAACACGAATACACCCATGGCCATTGCTCCACCCAGAGACATACCTCTCCCAGGGGCTGCTACCACAGCTACTGCCATGACCTCTGCCGCCCTGATCACCACGAGGAGGCTCCCCAGCTCCACCACGCGCTCACCTACCTCCCTTCACCGTGTGCCGGAGAGGTGGGACCCATGCTTAGCCGACCACATCAGCAGCGTCAGCATCAGGACAAAGGGTGACACCTCCCTGGTGGTTTCCTGGTCTTTCTCCGGTGACCACGACCAATTTGAGGTGCGGTACACGGCCAGCCGGGATGAGCAGGTGCTGCGGGTGGTGGGAGGGCTGGCCGAGGTGACGCTCCATGATCTCCGCAGGGGGACCGAGTACAGAGTCTGCGTCATCCCCCAGAATGAGAATCTGCTGGAGTGCCAAGCCCCTGCTGCCCGGCAGTGCACAGCAGAGCGCACTGCCGGCCTTCCTAGTGACACACAGCCCGTGCATGCCCCGCTCGGCCACAGCCACTCAGCCGTGGGTTTCGGCGTCACTGTCGCTCTCCTAGCACTCGCAGCACTGGCCCTGGCTGTCACCTACAGACTGCGGACGCGGCCGATCCAATTCCAGCGCTACTATGATGAAGATGGGTCACCCCTTCATCGCAGGAGCAGCAACCAAGCCAAGATGACCACGGACCCAGTTGACGAGAGCATGGAGGACGAGGACTGGCACAGTTATGTGACAGCTGCCGGCCGGTGCCCAGAGGAGAAAGTAGACTGCACCGTGTCTGCCCCACCCAGGTTCACACTTACATCCACACCCACGTATGTGACTCTGTGATTCTAACTGCTTCCCGGCATCCTACGGCTGAGCAGGAATTGCCTCATGGGATCTGCCACTCACCCAGGGACCTGACACCATAGAGCCCCGAGGAGTAAACCAGACAGTTCTGTAACCGCCCCTTATGACTGACATGGACAATAAAACCGAGCCCTAGAAAGTTGAGATGGGAAAAGCCTGTGGCTTAGGGCCCTTTTTGTCCAGCCCAGTCCATGCCCGTTCCAGCCAGTGCAGGGTTGCTCCCGACAGAGAATCCCCAGGGAAGGTCTTGCACAGCCTCATGAATAGTTTTGAAGTGCTGGATCTCCATTGGGGTACCCATGTGATTCACAAAGCCTTTCACAGCCTGGGGTGATGTAAAAAGGCAGGGTTGGTGACTGGTTTCCATGACAGGCAACTTCTACATGGCTGAGGGGTTGCTATTTATAGCAAAGCTGGACTGGAAATCACAGGAGAACCCGCTTTTGGAGTCAATTCCCCCCCTCCAGGGTGGATTGTTTACAGCTTCTGCCACCCTCCACCCCCCAAAAATAGCAGCTCTCTCTCTCTTGCTCGTTGTTTTGGCATGTAGTTTTGCATCTGTGGGGGTGGGGTGGATATAAGAAGGACCCAGAGAAGGGGAAAGGCAGAAACAATGTTTGCAGCTCAAGTTTGACCAGAGCGGAGGCCCACTGAAGGCCAGGGGGGAGCTGCAGGAGCGGAGAAGGAATTTGCACCAGTCCTGCCTAGCCCATATGAAAGGCAGGGGAGGAGAGTTGGGTGTTACGCGATGGGGCGAGCGAGGAAAGAATTGAGTTTCTGGTGCAGTATAGGGTTCAGGTCAGTCGGTGCATCTAGAACCCTGACATCATGGAGGATGTGAATTCCTAGCCCAACAAGCCGTTCAAAGCTAACAGTCACTGTCCTTTGCTGGTAGCATTTAACCTTCCCGCCCACCCACCCCCACCACTGTCTTGGTGCAGGTTTTTTAATGTTCTGTTTTATCCAAAATAAAGGTGGGGGGGCTTCCAAGCTAAAACAAAACATCGTATTTTCCATTCTGTGCTTTGAAGCTCGCCCATTTCCTGGGGCAAAGGCGAGGTTCCCTAAGACCTCTCTCAGCATGAATGCCTTCTATCAACCAAGGCATCTTCCTAAAACTGTTGGAGGGGTGTGCAGAACACTGGAAAATACTGACCTTGCTCTGCTCTCCTCTCTGCCTGGGCTGTCTGCACCCCCCTTCCCGATCACTGGGCATTGGCCTGGCCCACACATTTCATTCTCACTCTGGAACAGCATTTGAGCCTCTTCTGGACTCCATGCCACTTCTGATTGCATTGGATTTGCCCTAGCCCATGAGGTGTAGAACGCTGTGGAATAATCTCCCAAGCCAAGTGGCGAAGGCCTTTATAGCACATTCCATTTCCAAAGCACCTAAGCACCATTCTTCCTTCCTCCCACCCACCTGCTCTGCGTCACTAACTATTTGACAAATGGGGAAAATGAGGCGGATGGTGAGTGGCTTGCTCAGTGCCACAAAGCAATTGAGCATAGCACTCTGAAAGTATGTGGGGCAGACAGACAAGATGTTAGGTTATTTCATCTTTACTCTCTATTAATCTAGAAACAAATAGGACAAAACCCTCATCATTCATCTCCCCTTTGTCTATGTGCAAAGTCCTGGTCTTTTTCTACTTGCCCCTCCCTCCTCCTTTTAGAAAGAAGTGATGTATCACCCACCTGGGCTCCTGGAGAGCACTGTGGCCTAAATAGTACATCTCTGCCTTCCCTCTGTTTGCTGGACTAATAAAGCACACGGTAAAACCGTTTCATGCAGCTGTGTTGCTCTGCTGTTGTTAGATGAGCTGGCTGCAAGAACAGCTGGTTCGACAGAGTTTGGAACTGGCGAGGGGATACAGACACTCTCCACTCCAGGGCACCAGCCTAGCATTGGTAGTGCCCAAAAGGCACGACTGGATGAGACTCAGCCAGCAGCCTCCGGGGAGTAGGTGGCCCTAAGGACCATGGGAGTCAGATCAATGGTCCGCTGAGCCCAGTATCCTGTCTTCTGACAGTGGGTGGTGCCAGTTGCTTCGGAAGGAGTGAACAGACCAGGACAATTTATCATCCCTTGTTGTCCAGTCCCAGCATCTAGCGGTCAGAGGTTTTGGGCCACCGTGAGCATGGAGTCGAGTCCCTGCCCATCTTGGCTCATAGGTTCATGGACGCTAGGTCTGTCAATGGCTATCTAGTTTTTTTAACCTGGTTATACTTTTGCCTTTCACAATATCCCTTAACGAGTGCCACAGGTTGACTGTGCAGTGTGTGAAGAAGTACTTTTTCGTTTGTTTGAAACCTGCTGCCTATTAAGGTCACTGGGTGACCCCCTGGTTCTTGTGTTATGGGAAGAGGTAAATAACACTTTCTCCACCCCAGCCATGATTTTATAGACCTCTATCATATCCTCACTCTTTTTTCCAAGTTGAAGAGTCCCTGTCTTTTTAATCTCTCCTCTTATGGAAGCTGTTCCATACCAGCCTCTGTTGGTGAGAGGCTTTTAAGCATCTTGAAAGCTTGCCTCTCTCACTAACCGAAGCTGGGCCAATAAAAGCTATGACCTCACCCACCTTGTCTTTCTAAGATCCTGGGACTGGCTACAACACTGCATTCAATAGTCAGTTGTCCGTCTTCATATGCTGTAATTGAATGGGCCTTTTGCATTTATTTCTCAGTTCCCACCTGCACATTATCAACTACTAGCCTCTGCTCTTTACTAGGATATAACAGAGTATCCACTTTGGACAGGCACATTCCTTGGGGGAGGAGCTGTTAAACCATCAGCTCTGCCGCACCTGTCAGCTTCCCCCAGCCCTTAGTTTAAAAACTCCTCTCCGATGTTAATTTTGCATGCCAGCAATATGGTGCCATTCGCGTTTAGCTGGAGCCCAGCCTTCCAGCGTAGGAAGATGCTGCTCCAATGGACAGGTAGCCATGTTCAAATAAACCTGTGCCAACAGCCTGTCAGTCTTAGCCGCAGGCCATGGAGGCTGAACTTCCCTATACCTGGACCCAGCCTGAGGCTCACTGGCAGGGGAGGCAACATGTGGGAAACTCCTAGTGCCTTAGCCGAGAATTAACCTAGAATTCCTCTTGCTTCTCTGTGACAATACCAGGCACCTCCCCTCAGGCTGCCTCAAGCCATAGGAAGACAGACCGCTTGCAGGGAGATGTAACAGCTCTAGTCTAGTAGGAAATAAAGATCATTCAATTTCTCACTCTCCACAAGTACGCTTGACACCGAGCCCCCAAATATATTGACCTACAGGCCCCACTGCCAGACACCTGTGGTTTCTGAGTCTCACTGCAGGGGGATGGGTGGGTTTGATGGGGTGAGAGAGGCGAGGCTTAGGCTGGGTGAGGTTTAGTTTGCAGGCACTAGTCCAGGTTGTACTATTTTTTTATAGTCTGTACATGGACCTATAGGCCCATTTTACATACACACAGCCTCTTCTCCTCCCTCCCCCCATGGAGCTGGTACAAGAAACGCTGGCTTCACTACCAGGAAGTGCACTTTCCTCATGGCATTAAGTGCCTTAAGGCCAGGGTGAGGGAGGGGGCAGAGCTATTACAGGAAGCCCAGAGCCACACCTGGGTGGTGAAGACACATGCCAGGCACTCCCATCTGAGAAACCTTAACCCACAGCAAGGGTCTAGCAAGCCTCCCACAGACACACACACACCGCCTTGCCCCAGTGGCTGTCTTGAACAGGACTACAGCATGCAGGGACTTCAACACAGAAAGTGGGTGTGGCTAGAGGCCTCAGGAAAGCCACACCCCGCTGCATGGTTCAGGTTGCTCAGGTGTGCCCCACCCCCTTGCTTACCAGCCTGCTGGCAGAGGTGCATCACAGCCCAGTTACTTCCTGGGTTTAGTTCTCCCCACGGTCAGAGTAGGCCCAGCATGCCAAGGCCTACTAGCAACAGTCCACCACTGTAGTGCTTCCTCCACCCAGGGCTATGACTAACCTTTCCCTAAAGCACCTAACAAGAGCCGGCTTGCATCCCATCTGCAGCATCCCACAGCCATTGGCCCTGTGGTTCCCACAAGCTGCGGCTGACTCCACCATGCTGCTAGAGGCCCAAGCTGAAGGCACGCATTTGTCAGTGCCTGGAAACCTACCACACCCTTTGCAACAGCAGCAGGCAGCGTTTCACCCAAGAGTGTTGGCTCTGCCTTGTGCAGATGGCACAGGACGTTGGCTCCCGCAGGAACTGGCGCAGGAAGAGAGCTCACTCACCCCTAGGCGTATGGGGCACCTCAAGCTGTACTATAAACATGAACCGGAGCACGGTAGGAGCACACACCAGCCAGGGGTGAGATGCTACCACCGGTGGTGCTGGTCACACACACCAGGTCACTGGACTAGGGCAGCTCCAATCAAGGCCACACCCCATGCAGCAGCATGGCAGGGACAGCCAGCAAGAGTAAGCTGGGGTAAGAGTGACCACTTTGCCCCCATGAAGCCTGTGCAGGGCAGAAAGGATGGAGTCCCTGCCCCTCCCCCAAGACTGCATGCGCGAACACTGGGCTTTCCTACACGCTAGGTTCAGCCTCTGCCCTTGGCAGAATGTGCTGCTCATCATCAATCACGTTACCGCTGCTTCTCCCTCAGAGGCAACTGTGTTTTTAAGGCCAAGCTGGGCCCTTATCAGCTGTGCTAGAAGTGGAGGGGCTCCTTGGCCCCCTTTCCACAGCAAAGATTTCTGACAAAACTCCCAGAACTGCACTACCGTAATAAGGTAGCTGGGGAGCAGGGAAGAAGGATGGAGAATGAGCTGAGAGGCACCTTAAACTAGGACATCTCCTGTCCTCTACTACCCCTCATGAACCAGGAACCCATCCCTGCCCTTCCCCCAGACTTCAAGGTGCATATGTAGGGTCAGCTGGGGTGACAATCAACAGGAAAAATTCAGACTGGCAGGGGCAGTTGTGGGTGCAGAGCCCTCACCCATATTTTAACATGCTTAGAGACCCTCGGCTAATTCTTGGCACTGAAGCTGCTAAGTTTGCAGTGCCCAGCCCTGAGACGCTCTGCTGGCAAAGTATTCCAGCCGCCAAATGCCATTCCCCTTCTTCCTTTACTGATCCCCGGGGCCTGAGTGCTGAACATGGACCCCCCCTACTCGATTCAATTGATTCTACTCATTTCTAAACCAAGCCTATTTTAATGGGGAAATGGGGGTGGGGGAATGCAGGCTATGGCGGTATCACAATGAACAGGCAAAGACCACCAGGGCCAGCCCTACCCGAGGGAGCTCCACTCTAGCATAGCAGGGGAGTAGCAGATTAAAATACCGATCGGCCTCTCCCAGTTAGATTGGGAATACAAGAGCAGGGGGGAAGCATCCCCCTCTCCCAAGCCTGGAGCAGCAGGAGGCAGCTGAGCAATCCCATAACCCTGGAGAAGCAACACCACTGCTGCCATTTCCAGGTGCGTGGCTCAGGGCAGCGTGAGATGGAAGCCACAGCACCATGCAAAAGCCCTGCTTGATTCAGCTGCTGCTACTGCTTCAGAGAAAGCCCGTGTCCAGCACCTTCTGCAAGACAGCAGCTTAGGCACAACCCCTTCCAGCAGTGCTGAGTTTAATGGGGCCCTCTTTCCAATTCATGGACAGCCCCAGGAGGACTAGTTCTGGCACAACTGCCGGCGCTGGAGCCCAGGGATGCACTTTGGAAGTGGGGCCTTCAATTAAAAAAAATGGAAAAACAAAGTAAAAAATATCAGCAGGATTCCTCCGAGTTTGTTAAAGCAGAAGGAAAGATGGACATCCCCGTGAGACAGACAGCATGTTTCCATGGGCGCTGACATCCTCTCCTGCCAGCTGGCTAAGAGCTCTCGCTGATAAAAGTCCTATGAGGGGGAAGGAGCAGAGCTGCGCTTCTACTACAGCTGGTGGAGGGTTTGCAGCAGCATGTGGCGGGCAAAGGAACAGGAATCCAAAGCACGGTTGGGTCTGGAGAGAGGAGAGAAGAGACAAAGTTCATTTAAAAGCTACCCCCTGACTGCGCTTTGACTCACTGAATGCCAGCTCTCCGTGGGTTAAGGGGCTCAGTATGGTGCCAGGAACTCAAGAGCCAGCCAGCTGGAGTATCTACCTGCAAGGGACTTCACTCTTACTCAGAGACAGGGTCGGACGAGGTATGGGAATCGCTGCACTGAATCAGCCTATTGCTCCGTCTAGTCCTGAATCCCACATCAGACAGTGGCCAACGCTAGCTGGTTCAGAGGAAAATACCCCCCACCAATGCAGTGCATTGTGTCACACTGTATTAAACAAGTGATCTACTTGTGCCCTGAAGCATGAGGATTGATTGGCCCTGCAATGGTTCTTCTAGTGTAACTACAGCTATACTGTGCTTCCTCAGCTCTCTCATCCTTTCCTGAAACTTACCGAGCCAGCTGGCCTCTCTTACTACTGTACAGAGCGTAAGGGTAGAGGTTGCTACAGTTACAGCTGCGATAGGTTTCCCCTTTTCACAGGCTCATCCTTTGAACACATTCACTGCTTAGGCTGAAACTTTCCATGCTTTGTGCCCACCCCAAGGTGATGTTTCCTGAAGAACTTGAATCCAATACCACCAATGAAAAACATTCTGACCAGCTTCCCTCCCCAATGAAAGAACAGCAATATGTGCGGTGCTCCGTCTGAGGGAGAAGTGGGTTTCAAATGAAGCCGGAAACACTGAAATATGGGACTGAGCAGTATTTCCTTGTTGCTAAGCTGTTAGCTGTGCACTTTACGGTATTTGCTGAGAGACAGGACCCCGTATGCTCTGCAGTCCAATGGACCAAATTCTGCAGCACTGTTAATGGATTGCATCTCCATGCCCTACCCTTCATTCCCATCCTTCCTGCCCCCAAGTGGTTCATTGCTGAAGCTGCACACTGATGGACAATTCATTACATGACTTTGGATGATGGAGTTTTCACCAGGTTCTCCAGCCAGCCCAGCTCTGCGGGCCTCAGCTATGATGTTATGTGTGGGGCTTAACTTGGAATCTCCTTTCCAGGCTTTGTGCATGAGAGAAAGAGGGGAGCTTGAACTAGTGAAGTGAACTGTATCCGAGTTCCCTGAACCTCTGCTGCACTAGCCTGCACTTCTAAGGCTCCCTCTTCTCCTCAGCTGGATTCTACCTTGGGCTCTCTGCAGCCCGGCTCTATAGAATAGTGAAGGGAGCATGCACTGTACATAATCAGTTTCCCTTTGTGGGGAAAGGAGCTGAGAGAGGCAGCCGCAGGCAAACCTCAGCAGAGCTGGGACACAAAACAAAATGGTGGGGGCCTGTCTGCAGCCAGCTAATGAATTCTGCAGCATCTGTGGGGGGTGGGGAATTAGAAATTCCAGGCAGAGAACCAGCCCTAAGCACCCCCATCTGAGATGATCAGGGCCACTGCGTTCAGGCCCTTTGCAGAGTCAGATGGGCATCACTTACACTCACTACTTTTTTTTTTAGGTTCTTACTCAACAATCGTAAGGCTAGAAACAATTTAAAAGGAAAAATTCTGTCACACTGAGTGAGTTCTGTGGCCAATTCCTCGCCCCCAGAGGGCCCTGGCTATGGGCATTTATAACTTCTCCTACTGAGCGGTAATGGAGCTTGGAGACACAGTAAGCGACAGCTGCCTTGCCTGAAGCAGCTCACAAGAACTTTGTAGCTCCACAAGCCCATTACAAAGGAGCTGATAGTCTAACAAGGCCAGGAGAGCTGCTGGAGTGGCTGGATTATTGTACCATGGAAGCTCAGGCCAATGAGCTGAAGGGTCTGACTAGATTCCCAAGGGAGGCTGACCAAGGCTGTTACCTGAGCACTCCAATGAGCAAAAGTTGGCTCTGTAGTGAGCTGGACCAGCCCGTTAGTTTTGGACAAGAACAGGACAAGCTCCTCAGCATCTGAGCTCCAGGCAAACAAGGGACACAGGTGACCTTGGATTACCAAGAGCTTTGGTGAAGTCCTTTGGACACATAAGGTTTGTCTGCAGGAGCAGCTGAAGGAACATAGCAAATCACTAGAGAACTCTGCAAAGTTTTCAGCTGCATAGCTCGCGATTCCCTCTAACACCCACAGCCGGGAGTGAGGTGTTACGGCAGAAAGAGCAAGCCCTGAAGCAGCAAATGTTGCCTTGGGCTTGTCGCACATCCCCCACCCCATATTACTGCCCCCCATAGATTAGCATTGGGAAGGAAGTTCTCATTTGGACAATGGCATGGCTTAACTGCTTGACTCTGCAGCTTCGGTACTAGCTTGTTTTTTCCTTTTGCTCTCACCATGTGTTAAGACATTTCCTTTGCAAAAGTCACTGGGCTATTTTATGATTTGACACTATATCACTGTAAGACACACACATTCCTCCCTCTAGCTTCTCCTCCTCCCCTCGCCGCCACCGCCTCTCCCCCCAGCAAAACTAGACTTCTCTGCTTCCCTATTCTTAAGCAAAGTTGTGATGAAATACTGCTACAGCCGCAGTCAGGAGTTTTGCCACTGACATCAGTGAGGCCACGTTTTCACTCTGGAAGCGCTACCTATCTACACCATGCCTGTCACTGAGGTACCCAAACATCTAGATCAGTAGTTCTCAACCTGCGGCCCACTTACAGCCCTGTCAGCACACAGCTGCGGCGCATATGAGACCCTCAGGGCCATACAGGTAGTATGTATATAGCGTGGATGTGGCCACATAATACGGAGAGAGCTGCATATGCGGCCCACAAAGGTAAATCGGTGGAGAACCACTGATCTAAATGCAGCAAAATCATGGCTGCCACCGTGTTTAATGCGCTATGGGCACAGCTCCGAGAGCAATACGTAGGGTTAATTGCT